CTAAACACGCGTACAAACAGCACACCTCGCTAGGTAGGCTCCCAACCGGGAGCACCATGAAGGCCCGTTGAGAAGGAGCTATTGCAGCCTGACCCTCAGCCCGCAGTAGGCCACTCCACTTAACAAGATACACACTGGGCCGACTGCGCTGTCCATCAGTTATAGCGTCAGTTGGCAAACCTCAAAGCCACAGATTTTAGTGCACCGCGACAGCTTCAAGCGCATCAGATTGATTATAGTGAGGAAAGAAATGCGCTGAGGATCGAAAGCGCCCATACACTTCCTACTCTAACGTTGCTAACTCATCTACAGTTTCCTTCAAAGCCATTTCCACTTCACCACCCTGGTCTGCCAGGGCATCCAACTGGTTGGCCTACCCAGCGTCCCACGTCTTTTTCAACAAACCTTCCCCTAAAACAGGCCGCGAATAAAATTATCCTGACAAACATATACTTACATTATTTAACACTTCCAAAATCTACAGAGGCACTTACCAGAAACTCCCAGCTCATCCACCGACGAGGCCGTCACTTCCTTCGGCTTCTCCTCCTCCTCTGTTACAGGACTGTCTACACTCATATGTGCGCTCGTGGCTAAAATGGAAACACGTTTAAGTAGTACACATCAACTTTAAATACAGCATCATCTACAGCCTCGACTGTAAAAAAGGACAACCTATAAGCCCATTATGGCAGGCTCCATATTATTCCAGGCGTCGCACATAAACGAAAGTCTCGGCATTCGTAAGCAAGTTGATGCACAGTGCCTATCAATAAAAGGACACAAAAGAACATCTACTCAGTCCCCTGAGACCAGCACCAGCGGCCCCATTTCACGCAAAACACAGCCCGAACCTACTTATCCAGTTTAGCATCAGCAGAGTCCAGGAAGTACACTAGTCTAGTGGCTTTAGGCTGTGCGTACACACTCACCACAATGGGAGTCAACTACATTGCACAGGGGAGAATCACAGAACTACACAGCCCCTACTGAAAACCAAACACCCATACACCTCCCACACTCTTCCACCATCTTACTCAAATAACCAATTATAGTTGCTAACCTACTTACGGTGGCCTTTACCGCCATCTTTTGCTTGTCGGAAAGTACACTACTCTAGTCGGCGCTGGACATCCAATTGGCTGACTGACGGCGGAGGTCAACATCCCACAAATGACCAACCCAGGATCCCACTGGTCTGCTTTTCAATAAAACTTCTGACTTACTCATGTCACAAAATCCGGGCTCCAGTGACAGTCGGTCGTTTCGTACAAATAGCAGCAATTATCACTCCATGTAGCTGACCTCTGATCAACGTCCGCAACGTCCGCCCCTCCCCCCAACCAAGAACCTCTACTCTCGCCATGCGGGCGACGTGCAAACTATTAATTGTAATCAGACTACCCTGCCCAACTGTACAGTTGTCATTACCCCTGCAAATGTTTTGGTCTGGTGAAGATTTGCTGAAAACATACGTTTGCCAACTTGACTTCTCACGACTAGCCTAACTCCTACATGGGCAAATCGATTGCTGCAGTAGGCATAGGGAGACACGTACCAGAGTTTTCTAGTTCAGTCACTGACGTGGTCGTCGCAGCTACATCTGGAAGCGCCACTTCTTCCTTCTCTTTCTCCTCCACTGTCACGTCACTGTCTACACTCATGTGCGCGCTCGTGGCTAGAATGCGAAAAAAAAGTTCAATATTAGCAAATCAACTTCAAAAAAAGCCTCACTTATAGTTTCGACTGTAAAAAAAAGCAAACTATAGCGGCATTACGACATGGCCAATGTTACCAACTCCTCCATTCGTCACAAACCGCCGGCGATTCAATCCGTCAAAAGCGCCGAAGCAGTGCCTTCAGACACCAAACCTCCTCCTCCAACCATCCATCTATCAAATTCGCCCATGCGCATGCGGGAACACCATCCTGCCTGGCTAAACAAAGGCGA